CCGATAGAATTGATCATAAAAACTGGTGAAAATGGAGTTTACTTATTATCTATAAGTTTGAATAATATATTCAGACATTTAGAAGTTCGTTTGATTGAAAAAAAAAACTCTCATTGAAACAAATTATGGCATAAAATTCAAACTTCAAAGCTAATTAATACATCGCTTTCATCTTTGCAATGTTAATAATCTTTACGATAGAAAAAAAATGTCTTATTTCGTTTTATTTAAAGAGTTTTGAGCATTCTACTAATGAACTTTAATGCTTGTAGCATTATCAATTCAATCAGTTAAATCTGTTTAACGATAATGTTAATCTAAATTTGATTAGCAAAAATTGAAAAGGCATTTCCGTAATTTGGAATGTTAAATGGATGAACAGGAAAATAGTGAAACAAAATTGCTCTTCACATAACATAATCAATTTCAATAATTCATTTAGGAATAACTACATAAGCAGTTAATAGCAACTATATGAATGCGTTTATAACTGAACTTAAAGGATAGTATTTATAATTGAACTTAAAAGATCACAAAAGTTTTCTATGAATTCTAAAGAAGTAAGTTGCGCATTAAAAAAAAGTGAAAGAAAAAAGCCGCTATTGTGGTAATTCAATCTTCGAATGAATCTCATTTGAAACGAATTATGGAATCAAATCCAAACTTCGAAAGCTAATTGATAATTAATACATTGCCTTCGTCTATTCTTGTGATATTCGTATTCAATGTTCGAATGATTTCGAATTTGACTTTTTCTAATGGTATAATAAACCAAAGTGTTAAATTGAAGCAATTCAATACAATTAATGATGCTGTAAGCTTCATACATATATATTGTATAGTATTAATATGAGTAATAATTATGTAAGTGCATTTTCCAATAGTTCATCCAAATCATATTATGCTGCTAATTTTTATTTTTGTTGCACTTCGAATAAATTTGATAAATTCATAGGATTTCACGAAAATTTTGCAGTTAATGTGATATGCTATATAAAATTCGTCTTTACAAATATGAACAATTTATTTTGTTCATATAACATTAAACAGTTGTTATAATATTCAGGTGCATTTGTTAGTTTGATAATAATATCACTAAATGAACAGAACTATAATCTAGCACTAACTCTAACCTTATTTATCAGAAGTTTATCATCATAATCAATGACAATTTTATATGTTAAAATTTCATCTCCAATGTCTTTTATTTTATTAATTAATTAATTTTTCAGCTATTCAGCAGAAAAAAATGAAGAAAGTGAAAAAGGACGGAATGAAATGGACGACATGTTGCAATACTATTCTCGAACTAATCAACTCATTTATTTCTTAGTTGTCAGTGGAAAGAACACCAATCTCCAATCTTCGCTTCACTATGAGGATGTAGTCAAACTAAGGCCTCTTCCACTTCCATCGCTATTACCTCCATCTCCATCCATCCATCCATAGCACGGGAGAGTGTTAGAGGAAGCGGTATCGAAACTGCCTACATCAGAAATTGTTAAAGTGCTCTTAACGAGAATTCATTTGACGCTTTGAGGCACATTCACTTGTGATTCTTAAATGATTAAATAAATGAAATGCTTTGAAAGGAATTATTTATACTTCTCCTATTGCAGTATTGCATATTAGGTGGATGACTCAGTGTCTTCTATTATATCTATAGATAATACATATATAATGATAATAATATGTGTATGTTTGTGCATGTGTGCATGCATGCATGTGTGTGTGTGTGTGTGTGTGTGTGTGTGTGTGTGTGTGTGTGTGTGTGTGTGTGTATGTTTGTGCATGTGTGCATGTGTGCATGTGGGTCAGTGATATAGGGGCGGGATACTTGAAAAGAGCACATGCTAACCAGAGTTGACTAGAAGAATTTTGCTTGAGTGGAACACACCTCAAATTCCAACGGAATTAATGAAGTAGCTGATAGGGACCATTAAATGATGAGAATAAATGTTCTTCCCGGTGGATGCTAATAGGTTTCTATATAACCTGAACAATGATGCTATTGGGAAGAATGAAGCAAAAATAGGAGGAGGAGGAGGGAAGAAGGAGGAGGAAAAGGAAGAGGAGAGGGAGGAGGAATGGGAGAGAGAAATGATTTTGAATATTGAAGTGCGGTATGCAATAACAGAACGAAAAGGAAGGTTTGCGGAAAAAGGAGGAAGAAGAAGAGGCGGAGGAGGAGATATGAAGAATGGACGTAACTCGATGGTATGCCATAGATCGAAGCCGAAGCTAGCATTAGCAGTATCTCATACGTCAGATCGATCTTGTGTGAATAGAGGCCTCCAACCCACTTTGAAATCACTAGGCCAGTTATTTGTATGTTGTTCGCTCTCCCTCGTCCTTCCAGCGTAGTCCTTTATAAGGCCCATCCTCATCCTCCGTTCTTGCATCTCAGGCTAGGCTAATTACTTCCTTTTTTTTTCTGATCCCTCTTCTTTGACCCGACTTTTCCCTGTTTTCCACATGATAAAAATTGTTCTTTTCCGCTTTTTTTTCATATTGTTAGTATTCAAAAATCGCACACTTCTTAGTCTTCGTAACTATTTTATCAATTTCTAACCTTATTATTTCATGGTACTTTATTCGTCTTTCATATTTTCATTAATGTCAAATTTTCATATTAATGCTATCGAATTATTTTAAAATCATGCTAGCTTAAACAGAAACAATTGACTGATCTCTTTTTTCGGCTATTTCTTATCTTAACAACTCGAAAATTTTGAAGATGAAAAGAAAAAAAAAATTTCAATAGAGATTTAAAAATTTTCCTTCTCTATAAGCAGTATTTATATTAATATGAAATGATGTAAAAAAAAAGGTTGGAATGAATATGAAACCTAATTAGATGATGTTTTGATAAATTAGTAAAATGATCAGATTTGAAAATGCATTTAGAAACATGTAACATTAGAATCACTCCCTAATACAACATATATCAATCGTTTTGTGCTAATTATCTGTTGCTACTAATTCGTACTAATTATTCATTCTACCTATGATATCTTCCTTCAATAAGAACTAATGCAAAAATAGTTTAGGCCAGTATGTAATGTTGCATAATTAAATCATTGAATAATGATTATGAACTATTCCTAAAGGCATTCGATATTCCCCAAAAAAATCTCAAAATGGTGCAAAAAAAAGTTGTTATATAATTATCTAATTTGAAATCTAAACAACTATCAGCTCTATTTTCAATCTTTGTAATTGTGGTTGATTTCAAAATGTGATAAGTTAAATAGTGTTAAATTGAGCATTAAACAAAATGAAATATTGAGAATGAGCAACGATATAATGGAGTTTTAAAAAATGAAAAACAGATTTCAAGTTAATTAATTATAGGAATTCGTAAATTATGCATTATTAGTTGTGAATTATTGAATGGATAAATCACTTGAAGTTATATTTATTTATAATTGAAAAACAATTGCACATAGCTGTGATATGCAGGAACAGGTATCTGCTGATTAGTGATTGCAAGGTGAAAAAAAAAGATGAGAATGGATGGCGATCTATTTCATTTATTATCATACCTTCGAGCTTGTTTACATTCAGTTTTAATCTTTTTCCGAGAACTATGTGAACTTGTATCGGTAATTTGATTGTTTCATACATTTATAATTTGTTTGCTCTGATTCTTTTAATATCCTCAATTTTCATTTATTCTTTATAATTTGTATTATCATAATTCAAAGAGTTTAAAAATGATGAAATTAAAGCACCATCTATACTATTCAGAAAAAACTACATCATAGACTTTTTTTTTTTGAAGTAGAGCATTTATGGTATTAAAAAAAAAAAACAGGTATGGAAAGTGTATATAAATTAGCCTATCTTATAATTGCTTTAATAAATGACATTTATACATTTTGCACTCCGATATCAAATTTTTAGTTTATGAGAAGAATCTTAGTTTATTATATATTATCATCCTTTCAGTCTTTAATCTTAACATCATATAAGATAATCTCACTCTCGCACATTCTGTTCAATCCATTGCTTTCAATCAAATAAGATTTGTCATCAATTCAATTGTTCGTAAAATATGTTACCAAAAATGATCCCATATTACATTTTCGTTAACTCTCATTAAAGTCTTATTCAAAATTTTAAGCAAAAAAAAATTTTTTTCGAAATAATTCCCAATACTCTATTAATAAGATAGCTTCTTTTTCTTCGAGAAATCAATAATATAACTAAAATTCACGTGTAATTTCTGTCTTTTTTTTTCTGAAATTTGAAGTTTAAATTTATTTAATGATCCAACAAAATGTTAGGGGAAACATGCAACTTTTGTCATCAGAGGGAAGACATTTCACTAATGAACTAAATTAGTTTTAAGACATCTTGGTAAATAATATTAGCATTAGAGCAAAAAAAAAACGGGAAAAATGTTGGTTATTCTCAACATTAAATTAAGGTGGTGGTGAAAAAAAAAGGAAGAAAAGCAATTTATAATATTTGCAATTTGTTCTAAAGCAGTTAACCAATTTGAATAATGCATAAAAATTATCCCTATCTAATAAATGTATTCTTTTTACTCTATTTATTTTATACTGTACTATGAACAATTTTAGTAAAACGAATTTTACAACATCATCATATTGCACCTATGTTGGAAAATAACAATACAATAATTCGAAGAAGGCATAATCTTGAAAATAGGTTATAACTATTCTTATGCACTTATTCAGACTTGACAAAATTTTTATAAAATTTTGCTTTGGAAAATTAATATATTATTGATTGCTTTGAAATGATGAGTAATTAGTTGAAATTTAATTTATAATTTTATTAATATTTTTGTTTTTAATAATTTGAAAAGATTTGATTGAACAGCTTTTTATTCCTTTCAATTCTATTATCTTTGCAATATATTTCATTTTTTCTTAAGAGTTAAAAGATTTTGGATCGTTCGAGCAAAAAGATGGTGTGATAAGAGCGAAAGATAAAGAACAGTGGATAAATTGGTGGTTTGTAAAGAGGCGATGCTATTGTATTATTTTGCTAGTGCTGTTAAGTCAATACAATTTCATGTGGATGATGATATTATCGATAAACTCAATTACTACTATACCACTTCAATCATTACTGGTAATTTATTTGTTATTCTTATTATTCATTTTATATTAACATGAAAATAATGTATATTATACATTTATATGTATGTGTAATAGGCATCTGATTGTAGTCAATATAATGGCAAGTATTGAATATCTATCTAAAATAGGTTTTAGTACCTCGATAACAGGCCTAGAATACGTTTTAGCATCTCAATGAGAGTAATATGCATTAAATTTAACGATATTTACTTGAGCTTTGTTATTCATTCCTTCTCATTATAAATTAATGATCTTCGACATTTTCAAGTTATTCTTTTTTCAACTTTCCAATAAAAATTTTTCGGATTTCTTTCTTCCTTCTCTTTTTTGCAATACGTGCTTTACTTTTTGTTAATCATTACAATCTTATAATCTCAACATTCTTCTCTTCTTTGTTTTTGAGCCGATTTTTTTAACTAAAATGCTTTTTTGCATTCAAGAATGATAAAATATTGGTGCAAAATTAACTACTTAAAAAAACATTTCAAATAAAGGAGAAAGATTGAGAGAAAAAAAAAATAAAATGAAATGAGCATTGATCTTTTCACCGTGAATAATGTGAATGCAAAGGTAAAGCAATCAGTGGCACCAATTAATGAATTGAGTGGTGAAGAGTGAAGCAATCAGTGAAAACATTTCAGAAATTTTAAAATAAAAATAGTCTAAGAATATTAACAATTTCTTTCCAATTTTTGTTGAAAAATTTGATCATTTCTTTATACTATCTAAGTAATCATTTTTATAATTGGTGCCACTGATATCCATTTTTTTACATTACGACTAAATAAGGTCATAGGTTACGCTTGAAATAATAGCCATTAGTGTCTTCTATCATTTTTAGATTTGCAGTATTATACATACAAATACATATTTAATACTACTGAATTTTCATTCTAAGAAATCATTTCTTAAAAGTGAAAATCCATAAATAAACAAAATGTGAAGTGCTGACATTATGTCAGCGAGGTATTTAATAAGCTTAAAATTTGATAAATTTAATCGCGATATTGCAATGTTATATTAAAAATATAAATTATGAAATTTAGATGATTCCGCAGTAAAGTATCAAATAGTCCGATTGAAGTGTAAAGTTGTCAAGCAATTGAAAATAAAATTCGTAATATCAGCAGAAGTAGAAATCGCTATTCGTTTATTAAATAGCATAAATTTTAATTTCCAAATTATATGGAAAATAATTAAAATACGAAGTTGTAAGATTTAATTCATCATTCTTTACATTACTAAATAAATCATTTTACACATTTTAGTGTTCGCTATTCTTGTTTCTGCGAAGCAGTATGTTGGTAAGTTATTTAATCTCACTTTTATAAGTTAATATCATTAATAATAAGCTATACTTAGTAATATTTTATCATTTTCAAATTACACATTCTTTTATGATCAATTTGTATTCCATTCGGGTGGAAAATAATTGATTGTAATATTATTATCGATATCACAAATACAATGCTGTAATTATTCAAATGACTTTTTTTTTTAATCATCTGTTTTATAAAATTATCATTCTGATGTCACATATTATATAGGTTTTCCGATACAATGCTGGGTACCTGCAACATTTACGGAACCGATGGAGCAATATACAGAAAATTATTGCTGGGTACAGAATACATATTTTTTACCCTTGCACGATTATATTCCTCATAATTATGCTGAACGAGAAAATAGGCAAATTGGATACTATCAATGGGTACCATTTGTACTTGCTTTGGAAGCACTCCTTTTCTATGTGCCAACCATCGTTTGGAGGTTACTTAACTGGCAATCTGGTTAGATTTCATTCAATACTAATTATTCATTTTACAATGATTATTAGATGATATCATTTTGTTCCATTAAAATTTGTAATATATTATTATTATCATATTAAATGGTATTATTTGATATATTAAGTTCCACAAATTTCACACATTTTTCATCAAAAAAAAAATCATAACAATTACAAAAAAGAAAAGAAATTCTCGCTCCTACAGTATGACAATTTTAATGTCTTTGAAGAGCACAAGGTAAAGAAAAAAATTATTTTCGAATTTTGATTTCTTAACCAATGAATAAAATTGCTTATGAATTCTTCTTCAATTCTCATTCCACTTATTTAATTTGCTCTTTGGTTCAATCAGCTAAATTAATTTCCAGGCATCCATGTGCAATCATTGGTGCAAATGGCATGCGATTCACGATTGTTAGATTTGGATTCGAGAAATAGAGCTTTGCAAACGATAGCTACAAATGTTGAGGAAGCACTTCATGTAAAACATCAAGTGGTTTGTTCTTTTTATCAAATTCCAATTTTTTGAAATTTGTCAATTTTTTCATGTATGTGTTAATTGAAAATTTTAGGCATATTTACTTATAAGGGCTTTAGATTTGATTTATTAAATAAATTTCAAAAATGATATCGGCATAATGACTTTGATCTTTGACAATAATCTTATATTGTTAAAAGAAATGTGAATTTCCCTGTATTGTCAGATTTTGAGCCGCTCAAATTTTTTTTTCAGATGGCTGGGAATCGTTTGAAGTTATTAAATTTGATCATTTGTACCCGTAGTAGTGGTGCCGCTGTAACATTTTTGTACATTTCGGTGAAAATCCTTTACACGGTAAATATCGTTGGACAAATTTTCTTGCTCAATACATTTTTGGGCAATCGTAGCAAATGGTATGGATTGCAGGTTGGCTTTCAAATATGCATTCTTTTCCAAAAATTTCAAAGCTACTGTAAAATATATATTTTAAAATGTAAGCCAATTATAAGTTTTTACCACTTAAATTTATTTCGTTTTTTCTTTGAGTCAACAAATATGAAGAAGTGAATCTTATCAAGTTATAGGAATAAGTCAAAAAAAAGTTTGTTCCTTTCAAAAGTATATTTTCATCTCTTGAAATGAAAATGTATAACCATCATTTAATTAAATTGTCGCTGAATTTATAAATGAGACTGAAATATCAATTCTTAATGTTTGAGAAGCAAAAAAAACACAATATTTTGGCCTATAACTGTAATTAATATAAGATGATAAAAATGGTGATAATAACAAGAGAAAATGATGATTTGCAATAGTGATAAAATTTATTGGATAGGTGCTGAATGATTTGATGAATGGACGAGAATGGGAAGAATCCGGTCATTTTCCACGTGTTACGTTATGCGATTTTGAAGTGAAAGTAAACATTTACTTTTTGCAAAGTATTATTTATATGCACACAACTGTTACTCTCAGCTTTAGTAACAAAGCAAAACTAATTGAAATAACGTAAAAGATTGCCAACTTACAAATGAGATTAAAAAGTTCAAAAGATGTACGTAATCACATAAAACATTGAAAAGATAATTATTTAATCCACTTAATTTTAATTTTTTAAATCTTCATTCTTAATTTATCAAATTAATAAATTATTTTATCAGTTTTATCTTTCATTAATATCTGTGCGACCTCTATTCTAACATCTATACTAATTTTTGTTATTCTCAATTCGATACCCCATCACATCGTCTTTCAGCAATAAAGAAAAAAACAAAAAAAAAAGCTTTTTTATCAAAGACGGATAATATCATTATTTTCAAATAATGATAGCTTTGTTATTTTTTATTACTTAACAAGTCTTATTGCAGTGGTTAATTTAATTACATATCAAAGAATTAGTGAATTTTAAATTAACTTATTTTAATCTAATTTCATTCAGTAGAATCCCATTAAAACTGTTGAATCTTTTTTTTTTTTAAATTTACATTTTATTTTTAAAAGTTTCTTTTTAGGTGCTCGGGAATGTTCATCGACATACAGTGCAATGTGTTTTAATGATCAATATGTTCAACGAGAAAATATTCCTCTTTCTATGGTTTTGGTATTTTTTACTAGCTGGTGCCACAGTTTGCTCTCTTTTATATTGGATATATATTTCCATTGTTCCTAGCAGGCTCGTTTTTTCTTGTTTTTTGTTCAAATATTCTTTGTTTACAAAATCAACTTTGAGGCATATTTACTAAACTTTCTCATAGTTTTAAAATGAGAATACCGTATCCGTTCAACTTCATCAGAATAACTTTGAAATTTCGATGATAATCTAAATAGTATCGAGATATAATTAGAAAAACATAACAAATATTTTCGAATTTTT